TGGATTGTTCACCCACCAACAGGGAACGTGAGCTGGGTTTAGACCGTCGTGAGACAGGTTAGTTTTACCCTACTGATGCACCGCCGTCGCAATGGTAATCCAACCCAGTACGAGAGGAACCGTTGGTTCGCACAATTGGTAATTGTGCTTGGCTGAAAAGCCAGCGGTGCAAAGCTACCGTGCGTGGGATTATGACTGAACGCCTCTAAGTCAGAATCTGTGCTTGCAGCGATAGCGTATGCCTTCTTGGATGACACAAGGCTGTCGATAGGGCCAGCAGGTCTGGCCCCGAAAGCATAAGTTCGGAGTGGTCGCTCCTGCGGCGGAGCACCGACGCCCTGGGGGTCTCTTCATVGCAATTTCTTTCGCTCGGGGAGTCAAACCCTTTGCAGACGACTTAGACAGGGAACGCGGTGTTGAAAGCAGTAGAGTGGCCTTGTCAACACGATCTGTTGAGATTCGGCCGTTTGTTCCAAAGGTTTCCCACACCTTTTGGCTCCCCACCCCTCCTCAAATGATTGAACGACGGTCATCCGCGTTTGAAGAGAGCCGTCGCCCTTGTATAGGGGCCGATGAGCTGCTGGCTTTTTTTTTTTTTTTTTTTCCAGTTTTGCTGCTCCAGTCTGAAGCCCCTTTTGCCCGATGTGGTACTCGACTTTCGGCTCAAAGGAGAACTATGCCCGAGCCCATGTTGGGGTGGGTGCCACGTTGTAAGCTTCTGGCAACTCCGGCGCGCCGTCTGTCCGAAAGCAAGGATATGTGTCCGCGTGTCTTCCTGTACTTGACCCGGTGGGCGTTTGTGCATGCCACATTAGCCGATGTCGCCCCAAACGGCCTGCCACTTTTGGCTGCACGGAGACTTGGGACCAAAGGCTGGATCGACGTGAGTCCCACATTGTACACTTACTCACGATGTGGTGGGCGACCTTTGTTTCACTAAAAAAAAAATAAAAAATTATTCTTGAAGTATTCAAACAAAATGCAAACGGGTACTATTTACATACGTCTATAATATTATGTATATGGTTTTTTTTTTATTATTATTTTTTTCCCAATTGGATTCACCTTTCTTTCATGATGAAAACAAAATTCAGAATCTTCTCATTCTGTAGATAAAAGTTTGCTCAAGCAAGTATTCAATCAATTTAACAGAAGATTTTCAGTAGAGGGGCAGAGACCGAGGGCGTCTGGCCCCCCCTGCGTACAAGCGTAATCGTGCTGGGGGGTGCGCGAAGCATGCCCCTGGTGTTTCGGACCTGGAAAGCCAATTCTCACCCTATCTGGCCCTCCCCAT